TCGATGGCATCAAAATCAGAGGTGTGGACTGCCCGAAGCCCGTAACAAAATGGAGTCACTTTGGTATGCCAGCTACTTGGTGAGTTCATGGTGTCTTGGAAGTTGAGTGTCTTTGATTTCTATCACTTGTTCAGCTTGGATGTTATCAAACGTTTAAATTACGCATCTCCAACCGCAATTCAGTCCCAGGCCATCCCCGCTATCATGTCGGGTCGCGACGTCATCGGCGTAGCGAAGACGGGTTCGGGGAAGACAATAGCTTTCCTGCTTCCTCTTTTTCGACATATTAAGGATCAGAGGCCTCTAGAGCAAATGGAAGGTCCTGTCGCCATTGTCATGACTCCGACACGAGAACTCGCTGTTCAAATACATCGTGAGTGCAAACCATTCTTACGAGTACTCAATCTTCGGGTGAGTCTTATATCTGATTCATCTTACGCTGCAATAAACCCTCTTCTGGTAGGCTGTATGTGCATACGGTGGTTCCCCTATCAAAGATCAGATCGCCGAAATGAAGAAAGGTGCCGAAATAATCGTCTGCACGCCGGGTCGAATGATCGACCTTCTTACGGCTAACTCTGGTCGCGTCACGAATCTGAAGCGAGTAACATATGTGGTGCTCGATGAGGCGGATCGCATGTTCGATATGGGATTTGAACCACAAGTCATGAAAATCATTAACAACATCCGACCAGATCGTCAGACAGTGTTGTTTTCCGCGACTTTTCCCAAACAGATGGACTCCCTCGCGCGCAAAATCCTTCGCAAGCCGTTAGAAATTACAGTTGGCGGTCGATCGGTTGTTGCACCCGAGATTGATCAGATTGTAGAGGTCAGGGAAGAAGAAACCAAATTCAACAGGCTCCTTGAGATATTGGGTCAAATGTACAATGAGGATCCAGAAGCTCGCACGTTGATTTTCGTGGACAGACAAGAAGCTGCGGATAACTTGCTGCGAGAGCTTATGCGTAAAGGATACCTTTGCATGTCGTTACATGGAGGCAAAGATCAGGTGGACAGAGATCAGACCATTGCTGATTTCAAGTCTGGCGTGGTACCCATCGTTACTGCCACCAGTGTTGCTGCTAGAGGGCTAGATGTGAAGCAATTGAAGTTGGTCATCAATTATGATGCTCCTAACCATATGGAAGACTATGTTCATCGTGCCGGGCGAACCGGACGAGCCGGGAACAAGGGAACTTGTGTTACATTCATCACGTCTGAACAGGATCGATACTCCGTTGATATTTACCGTGCTCTCAAGGCCAGTAACGCTACGGTTCCTCCTGATCTGGAACAATTAGCAAACGGTATGCAGGGTTGATTTAAAAAAATACTGATGACTCTTCAACTTTACCTAGGATTCCTGGAGAAAGTTAAAGCTGGTAAGGCTCAAACAGCGGGTTCTGGCTTCGGTGGCAAAGGTCTAGACAGACTTGACAAGGAGCGGGATGCCAAAGAGAAAGCTGAGCGTAAAGCATACGGTGAAGGTGGAGAAGAGAAAGTGGAAGAGAAACCCGATGAAGCAGCACAGAAAGCTATCGCTCCTTCAGACGACATGACGTTTGGTAACTTCAAGGTGGAGATCAAGCGTGGACCCGCTCCCGATGCTTCCAAACTCACGTCTAAAGCCAAAGATGACGAGAAGCGTATTGCGACGTCTTTGCGTGCGGCCGAAGAAGCAGCAGCCCGGGCTGGAAAAGACACAGCAGCGTATAGACAGGCTCAAAGCGTTGTAGCCAAACTCAACGCCCAGGTCCGCGCGTCTAAGCTAATGATCCAGTCTCATCCACTGGATGGTTCGAAGAAGGATCCAGATGCAACAGATTTCCATGCGATAGTTCCAATTAATGACTATCCTCAGAAGGCAAGGTGGAGGGTCACCAACAAGGAGACTATGGTACAGGTGTGTTATATTCCATTCGACCTTTTTTAACGACTTCTTACTAGTTGTCCTAGTTGATTGACATGACTGGTGCATCAGTTACCAATAAGGGTAAGCCCCTGAGATTCGAATCCGAACATTCACTTTCTGACCGTGGTTACATACAGGTATATACTACGATACAGGCAAAGAGCCTCCGCCGGAAGGACCTCCCAAATTGCATCTGCTTATAGAATCCAACGAGGAATATAGGGCAAGTCTCATTTATCTATCTATTTATGGAGCACCATTAAGTTACTGTTTCCTTTTCAGGTCGAGCAAGCAGTTCGTGAGATCAAGCGACTTTTGGTAGAGGCATCTGCAGCTGCGCTACAAGCCGAGTCAAGGAACCCAACAGTTTCAGCGGGCAGATACAGCGTGTTATAAGGTTTGTACTGAGATTGTACCAAGTATTAATATTTTGTATATCTACCATGCATTTTATTAGTACTATGGCCATGTCTACTGAGTAAATTAATTCTTGTTTGTATCAAGTGCACGCACCGCGGTCACGTCGTCACACCGCGGAACTGTCACCCTCGTGTTTCGTTTTACGATGTCTGGAAATCAGCAGCCAGAAGGACAACCAAACCTGTTTTCCACCCTTGGCGTGAAAACAGCCACCACCTCATCGGCTAATAACAATCAAAGTGGCGGCTTTGGTGCGTTTTCATCCACGCCACCGTTTTTTGCAAACGCTAGCCAGAACAACGCGACAAACTCCTCTGAAGCTAAACCAGTCCCGCAGAATTCCTTTGGAAGTGGGTTTGGAACTACTCAGAACTCAAGTGGAGGCGCACCTCAATCTGGAACCAGCGGTGGAAGTATTTTCGGCTCAACACCATCAGGTGGACAAACCAACAATATATTTGGCTCTAATACAGCACCTTCTGGTGGTGGATTGGGTTTTAGTGGCACTAGCAGCTCTACCTCAACTAACAACACGACTTCAGCTTCCAATCCTCTATTTGGGCGAGCTACGAACCCTCCTACTACTCCTTCCGCTTCATCTAACTCTCTGTTTGGGGGTGCTACGAACCAAAATGCCATACCATCCACCTTTACCAACCCTCTATTTGGTGGTAGTACAACTCCGAACGCTGCACCCACGAGTGGCCCGTTTGCCTCGCAACCAAGCGGTGGAGGTAGCTCCGTAAAGCCCTCCAGTAATATGTTTGACAATCCTACAGCTACTGCACCGTCGAATACACCATCAGGTGGACTCTTCGGTGGTGCAAGTGGTGGTTCAACGAGTGCCCCAGCCGTTTCCCTGGGCATCTTTGGCGCTTCTACTACCGCCACCGGTTCTAATAGCTCCAACAACAATCCGGTTGGAACTTCTTTGTTTGGAACCGCCCCCCACAAGACAACCCCATCTTCACCGTTCGGTGCATTTGGTGCAAAACCACCTACACCATCTGCGCAGCCTGACAGTACTACGTCATCTTCAACGGGCAGCGCTCCAACAGCCCCCTTGTTGTTTGGGAACGTTTCAAACACCAATAACCCCTTGATCACTTCCGGAAATAGTACGCGATTTTTGTTGTTGTCCATAGATTTCAGGCTAACTCCGCAATAGCAACCCCATCGATCACATCTACTGGAGCGCCTTCTGTATTCTCTAGTCTTCCAAAGAAGCCAGAGACCGCGGGAGCTACTTCATCCACTCCGTCTACGTTCTCAGGGTTTCCTAATCCCGCCGTTCCCAAGGACTCCAACAAGGAAGCAGGGCAAAATGAAAAGCCTGGTATGATGCTCATTCTTTTATTAAAGAACATTCAACCAACGCCACTGTCAAGCTTCAGGAAGCTTGTTTACTCGTCTCGGTGGCGCTTCTGACGTTGCGAAGGATCAACCGAAGGACAATACTACTACTAAAGATGCACCATCAGGTTGGTATTATTCCTCTTGCCATGCGACATATACCCCTGATTTTATATCCTCAGCTTCTCCGTTCTCCACTTTTAGTCTTGGAGGACTCAAAGACGCTGGCACGTCTAAACCCTCTGGCTAGTCACTCTTTTTATTTATTTATTATATTTATCTACTTTCGCTCAAATAATTATTCTGGTTACAGCACCTTCAGCCCCAGCGTCTGCGACCCCGACAGTTGCTCCTTCACCGGCTACGCAACCAGCGGGAACATCTGTCCCTGCACCTTCCATGCTGAGAGGGAAAACAGTCGAAGACATTGTCAGTCGGTGGACTACTGAACTTGAAACACACACGCGCGAATTTTCGCAATTTGCCAGTGAAGTGGCCGTCTGGGATAGGACATTAATTGAAAACGGGAATTATGTGCGTCGCAGTTGTTGGAAATAACTTTATAATTTTCCTGACCGTTTTGTCTAAGATATCTGCCTTATACGCAACAGTCCTTGCTGCGGAATCAACGCAGACGTCACTTGACCAGTCGTTAGATCATGTGGAACAGCAGCAGCGACACCTCACGGCCACATTAGATCAATATGAGAAGTCGGCAAGCGAAATTCTTCATGGGCCCGGTGGCATCATGACATCTACCGAAGGTCTAGGGCTTGCAGACTCAGAAAGGGACAAGAGGTATGTCACAGATGAGGAACTATTTATACGCATTATTTCCTAACATTCGGAATGCTGACAGCTACGCGTTGGCGGCAAATTTGTACACTCAACTGGATGAACTCTCTCGCTCTTTGACCAGCATGGTGGAAGCAGTAAATGGTCTTAATCTGTCCTCTGGACCTTCCCAAGGATCTGCTACCACAGGCGATGATGGTCAAGAAGACACGATCTCTACGATTGCAGGCATTCTCAACGCGCATCTGTCTAGCCTCCAGTGGATTGATGGCTCACTGAAAGATATGGATAGTAAAGTCAAGGATGCTGAAAGGAAGATCAAGGATGCGGGACCCAGAGGTGGTGCTAGAAATGGCCCTAGTGACGGGACCAGCAAAGGCCGTAGATTTGGGCTGGGCTCATCATGACGGCACGCTAGCTGAAAGTAGTTTATGAATGTACGTTGTCACTGTATTGTAGGTAACGAATGATTTCTTGCAGATCATCGTTGAACAATTGCTCGTTACTTGAACGTTAAGCACCTATGGCTCAATGGCAGAGCGCCAGACTTCTACTTGAGCCTTGCTTACGTAATCTCCATCTGGAGGCTGCGGGTTCGAGTCCCGCTAGGTGTAGTAATGACAACATAATTGTTCAATCACAATTGAAGAATGTCTTAAATTTTTCGCATAAAAACCCTTCCCTACCTTTTGCATCAAGGACGTGGCAAGACCTAAGCTACGAGGGTCAGGGGAAGTAACTAGCAGGTTCATACCTCAAGGTATGTACTAATGCCGCAGTGGACGTAGACGTTTTGATGGTAGAGAAAGCATTCGAAACATAATGCATAATTAAGGCCTCAAGACTCAAGAGTTTATAACTAGAGAAACTGTTCCACCAATAAATGACAATGTACAACCGTCCCTATCGCAAACTTTGCACAGCCGTCGTGTCGCTGATAGTAATACACGGTTTCAATTCCTAAGCAGGTTTTTTGTAGTTTCCTTGATAATCAAATAAACTAGATATGAATACTTTCCCATCTGTTACAGGGCCAGAACGGCATTGGAAGAGTGGCGCTGTAACCACGAAAGTGTCCGGGCTACCCACGTTTTCAGAGCAACTTCGCCCATGAAATTTAAACTCCGATAGTCAATTGGGCGAGCTGGGAACTATCTCAGTTAAAAGATGACTATGTTGGAATAAGTCAAATATATTAAAACACCAGAAATTACGCAGATTTGGTGGAAGTCAGATGAGAAGTAATTTGCAACTTATCTTGTTTCCGCCGGGGCCGCGGATTTCATGCACTCCTCGCGGGGTTTGAAAACAGTCGCTGCTGTGGACTTAGGCTCTTCATGCAGACCCCACCGGCTGCATCAGTGGACATGGTTTCGCCAGTTTCTACTCCTTCCGGTAGACATCGCTCCACTCATCCACCAGGAGATAGATTTTCTACTGCCCCGTCCGCTGGCCATCTCGCTAGGCCTGTTCCAACACTCACTTCTTCTCTTGATATCCCTGTAGAAGGAGTCCTTCCCATTCCTAAACCATCCATATCTACACCCACTATTGATGATGATTTTCCCTCAGTGCCCCCACCCTCTCAATTAGAGGAGCACCCAGCATCTACTGAAGGCCGACGAGCACCTCGTAAGTCAAAGACAGATGCTCTTGCCGCACTTCAAACCCGTTCTGTATCTCCATTTCCGGGCTCTGGGCGTGAAACATCGATTTCTATGGGTATCGAAGATCTACGGCCATCTATGTTTGACGATATCCCCTCTGTCCCCATACCTGCTCCTCGTGCTCTCGATATGCGAACTGTCAAGACAAAAGGCCCTAGAAATTCAAGCATCCCTTCGACGTGCCGCCCTTTTAAACTCGAAGATTGTCCTGCTTTTTATCCTTCGCCAGAGGAGTTTGCAGATCCGCTAAGCTATATTCGTTCCATTGCTGACCGCGCCCAGCAGTATGGTATCTGTAAGGTTGTTCCTCCTGAAAGTTGGAATATGCCGTTTGTGACGGACACAGAGGTGCGTTACATCATTGCAACTCAATAGCTTTACAAGATCTGTGATGAACGACTTATATAGACTTTTCGGTTCAAAACCAGAGTACAACGCCTTAATTCAATCGAAGCTGCATCTCGGGCAAAGCTCAATTTTTTGGAGCAGCTGTATCGATTTCACAAGCAGCAAGGAAACTCACGCGTGTCTATCCCCACAATTAACCACAAGCCTTTAGATATATGGCTTTTGAGAAAGGAAGTACAGAATTTAGGAGGCTACGATGTCGTGAGTTGTGAGACAGACTTCAAGTTTTGTTTATTGGCCTCAACTATTTTCCCCACTGATAGGTCACGAAGAGCAAGCGATGGGGCGAACTTGGGCGAGCGCTCGGTTACACAGGCATACCTGGACTCTCTGCACAACTCAAGGGTGCTTATACAAGAGTCATTTTACCTTATGAAAATTTTTACAACCATGTCCGCAACTCACCCTCCATGTCTCCCGCCACCCCCCGTAATCCTCATGTCAATTCTCACAATGTACCCAGTGCGGGTAGAATGAGCCGCTTGAGCGCATCGGTTGCATTGGGAAGCAATGGAGTCATCCCCGGTAGCCCTACTTCTCATTCATCCAGTCCTCTTTCAGAGCCACCGGAAGATGCTGACCCAGGCGGAAGCAAAAGTGATGGCGGAAGATCCCGTGTCGGAACCGAGCTGGGCGGTATGTGTCCGATCGCGATCGTGAATGGCCTTAATGTTTAGAGTGACTCTCTCATAGAAAACAAGCATAGTGCTATAGGCACGCCAACCTTGTTGTTACCGGCAGAAATTATTGCTACTCAAGAGACCAAGATTCAAGTTCCCATAGGAGAGGTACGCTAGCTACCAATCCTTCACCTGATAATTGCCGACGATGGTGTCCAGAATTGTGAGATATGCCAAGAGAAAAATGACGACTCCAACATGCTTTTATGTGATGGGTGTGATTGTGGTGAGTAACTTCAGTACCCTCCCTCTTATGGTATTGATATACACGTAGGTTTTCATATCTATTGTCTCGATCCACCTCTTCAGTCAATCCCTAAAGGTCAATGGTATTGTCACACTTGTCTTTTTGGTACCGGGCAAGATTTTGGTTTCGATGAAGGCGAAGAACACACTCTTGCTAGTTTCCAAGCGCGCGACATAGAATTTCGCAGACGTTGGTTCGAAAGTCACCCGCCAGCGTCTGATTCAAACATGCCGGATGATCAGTTTGTTAATCAAATTGGCGACGTTCGTGTGTCGGAGTTTGACGTCGAGAAGGAGTTTTGGAGACTGGTACAGTCACCCCATGAAACCGTTGAAATTGAATATGGAGCAGATGTTCACTCGACGACGCACGGAAGGTGTGTCACAGTAAATTCTACAAAAATGAGATGTCCTTACTCTTTTTTTTTTTGTTCAGCGCCATGCCTACTTTGGAAAACCAACCGCTCGATTCATACTCAAGGGATGGGTGGAATCTGAACAACATCCCTATCCTTGCCGACTCTCTTCTTCGCTTCATTAAGTCAGATATATCTGGAATGACTGTTCCTTGGACATATGTTGGTATGATATTCTCCACGTTTTGCTGGCACAATGAGGTACGTATATCAGACAATTTTTGGGGTGGGTGCATGACAGTCTGATAGGATCATTACACCTCGAGTATCAATTATAGTGCGTTTTTCGCCTTTTAGGCAATACCACCGCATTCTAATATATCTGTAGTGCACTGGGGTGAAACGAAGACCTGGTATGGCATTCCCGGGGACGACGCGGAAAAGTTTGAAGCGGCTATAAAAAGAGAAGCTCCTGATCTTTTTGAAGCGCAGCCAGATCTTCTCTTTCAGCTCGTGACACTCATGAATCCAGCCCGAGTACAGGAGGCTGGAGTTCGCGTCTATGCTTGCAACCAACGGGCAGGAGAATTTGTCATCACCTTCCCTAAAGCCTACCATGCAGGGTTCAACCACGGAGTAAAACTCTACCTCATTTCCTTCTTTGTTATCAGATTCTAATAATAAATTCTAGCTCAACTTCAACGAAGCTGTCAACTTTGCATTACCAGAGTGGCTTCCATATGGACGATCTTGTGTTCAACGTTATCAAGATCACCGCAAGCTACCTGTCTTCTCCCACGACGAATTGCTCATCACTATTACTCAACAGTCGACGTCTATAAAGACAGCCATGTGGTAAATTTAGATCTTTCCTTGCTTTCTTCATGATGCTCAATCGCTCATTGCAAGGCTGTACCCAAATTTACAAGAAATGCACGAACGCGAAATGCAACGCCGAGAAAATATCCGAGCCCGCATGCCCAGCCTCGAAGAAGTTCTTGTTGATCACGACCATCCAGAGGAACAATATCAATGTGCAATTTGCAAGGTTTTCTGCTACCTCTCTCAAGTGACCTGCACCTGTACGACCAAGGTTGTTTGTCTTGACCACGTGGACAATCTGTGCAGCGATCCTATTACCACACGTGTTCTTCGAAAACGATTCTCTGACGAACAACTCTCCGATATCTTGCACAAAGTATCCGAACGTGCGGCTGTACCAATCGCATGGCGAAGCAAATTTAACAAGCTCTTAGAAGAGTCTTCTCGACCACCCCTTCGCTCCCTGAGGGCCCTACTTGCAGAAGGGGAACGTATCAACTACAATCTTGCCGAATTGCCCGCTCTTCGAAAATGCGTCATCAAGGGGAACGAATGGGTAGACGCTGCCAACATTTTTCTTGCGCGCAAACCGAATAGGAAACGCACTCGGAAGCCAAGGGGACGCCCATCCGCAACCAGCGAGGGAAAGGCCGAATTTATTGATGAACCCGCGGAACGTCCCGAACGTGGTTTGCTTGACCTGTATGATGTCCTTAAAGAAGTGGAGAATTTGGGGTTCGATGCTCCAGAAGTTACCACGCTGCGAGGGATCGCTGCGCAGGCTGAAGACATTAAAGCTAAAGCAAGATCATTGCTCAGTCTCAGACTTGGGAAAGAGGATAATCCAGAGTTTTTACAAGAATGCGAAACGCTTCTTGCGCAAGGATCCTCGCTTAACATCTATTTGGATGAAGTGATAGATGTAGAAAGAATTTTCATGCGCTCAAAGCTCCTCAAGGAGTTAGCCACCTTAGATGAAACAACGACAAGTCTTGAGGAGGTTAGGAACCTTCTTGTTCGAGCTCGGGCTTGCAACCTTCCGGAAGATAATGACTTTATGATATCGCTTCAAGAAAGAGAGCGCGTTGGCGATGAATGGGACTGCAGGGCAACTGATATTCTATCTCGCCCTTTGAAGACAATCTTCGACCTGGAGCAGCTAGCTGGATTAGATCCTGGAGTGCCAGTAAACCCCAACACACATGACCAGCTTATGGCGACGCGAGCTAAAGCGAAGGAGTATGAGCGCCAGGCGCAGGCATGGCTTAATCCTGAACACGACGCACCTTTGCCAAAAGTGCAAGACGTCCTTCGGCTCGTTTTGCGAGGGGAGAAAGACTTTTCCATTGCCGCGCTTCAAGACCTCAAAGAGACCGCACAGATGGCATACGACCTGGAAAAAAGGTGTGAATCGGTCCTCAAGAATAACTACCTT